AAAATGGGGACAAAACAGGATTAAAAATTTTGTATAACAGCTGTCAAAAAAAATGTGTCAACCCAAATCATAACCTAACCTAAAATTTAATTTTTTTTAACTTAAAATGAGTGGAAAATATATATAAATTTAAAACGGGTAAAAAAATCAATTTTGGTTAATTTAATTATTAATTGTTGATGAATAACGTAATAATAAATGGTTTATAATAAAGTTTATGCTACGACAACAAGTTTTGAGGTTATATCGAAGGATTTTGAGGACAATAAAAGAAGTGGCGGATAAAACCCATCAAAAAGAATTATTGAATTGAAGAAATCAATGCTTAACAATAAAAATGGGGATAAAACACGATTAAAAATCTTGTATAACCGCTGTCAAAAAAAAATGTGTCAACCCAAATCATAACATAACCTAAAATTAAATTTTTTTAAATTAAAATATGTGGAAAATGTATACGAATTTAAAATGGGTAAAAGAAAATCAATTTTGGTTAATTTCGTTATTAATTCTTGATGAATAACGTAATAATAAATGGTTTATAATAAAGTTTATGCTAAGGCAACAAGTTTTGAGGTTATATCGCAGGATTTTGAGGACAATAAAAGAAGTGCCTGATAAAACCAAGCAAAAAGAATTGTTGAATTGAAGAAACCAATGCTTAACAATCAAAATGGGGACAAAGCACGATTAAAAATCTTGTATAAAAGCTGTCAAAAAAAANATGCTTAACAATAAAAATGGGGACAAAACAGGATTAAAAATTTTGTATAACAGCTGTCAAAAAAAATGTGTCAACCCAAATCATAACCTAACCTAAAATTTAATTTTTTTTAACTTAAAATGAGTGGAAAATATATATAAATTTAAAACGGGTAAAAAAATCAATTTTGGTTAATTTAATTATTAATTGTTGATGAATAACGTAATAATAAATGGTTTATAATAAAGTTTATGCTACGACAACAAGTTTTGAGGTTATATCGAAGGATTTTGAGGACAATAAAAGAAGTGGCGGATAAAACCCATCAAAAAGAATTATTGAATTGAAGAAATCAATGCTTAACAATAAAAATGGGGATAAAACACGATTAAAAATCTTGTATAACCGCTGTCAAAAAAAAATGTGTCAACCCAAATCATAACATAACCTAAAATTAAATTTTTTTAAATTAAAATATGTGGAAAATGTATACGAATTTAAAATGGGTAAAAGAAAATCAATTTTGGTTAATTTCGTTATTAATTCTTGATGAATAACGTAATAATAAATGGTTTATAATAAAGTTTATGCTAAGGCAACAAGTTTTGAGGTTATATCGCAGGATTTTGAGGACAATAAAAGAAGTGCCTGATAAAACCAAGCAAAAAGAATTGTTGAATTGAAGAAACCAATGCTTAACAATCAAAATGGGGACAAAGCACGATTAAAAATCTTGTATAAAAGCTGTCAAAAAAAAATGTGTCAACCCGAATCATAACATAACCTAAAATTTAATTTTTTTAACTTAAAATTAGTGGAAAACGTATACGAATTTAAAACGGGTAAAAAAATCAAATTTGGTTAATTTAATTATTAATTCTTGATGAATAACGTAATTCTAAATGGTTTATAATAAAATTTGTGCTAGGGTAACAAGTTTTGAGGTTATATCGAAGGATTTTGAGGACAATAAAAGAAGTGCGGGATAAAACTCACCAAAACGAATTGTTGGATTGAAGAAACCAATGCTTAACAATCAAAATGGGGACAAAGCACGATTAAAAATCTTGTATAAAAGCTGTCAAAAAAAAATGTGTCAACTCAAATCCTAACATAACCTAAAATTTAATTTTTTTTACTTAAAATGAGTCGAAAACGTATTATGAATATAAAACAGGTAAAACAAATCAATTTTGGTTAATTTAATTATTAATTGTTGATGAATAACGTAATAATAAATGGTTTATAATAAAGTTTATGCTAAGGCAACGAGTTTTGAGGTTATATCGAAGGATTTTGAGGACAATAAAAGAAGTGCCGGATAAAACCCATCAAAAAGAATTATTGAATTGAAGAAATCAATGCTTAACAATAAAAATGGGGACAAAACAGGATTAAAAATCTTGTATAACAGCTGTCAAAAAAAAATGTGTCAACCCAAATCATAACATAACCTAAAATTTAATTTTTTTAACTTAAAATTAGTGGAAAATGTATATGAATTTAAAACAGGTAAAACAAATCAATTTTGGTTAATTTCATTATTAATTCTTGACGAATAACGTAATAATAAATGGTTTATGCTACGGCAACACGTTTTGAGGTTATATTGAAAGATTTTGAGGACAATAAAAGAAGTGCCTGATAAAACCCATCAAAAAGAATTGTTGAATTGAAGAAACCAATGCTTAACAATCAAAATGGGGACAAAGCACGAT